TAGTTACATATTTTCCTGTGTGGTCCTTCTCTTTGCCAGTGTCAACCCTTCTACATATGCCCTTGTTCCCAATCCCCACTTTTTTCTCTCTTAGCTGTCCTCCGAGTTCTACCATTTTCTCCTTTCCACAAACAATGCCCCAGGTCTTCCCTTTCCTAAAAAAGATGCATGCAGCTGCCGTTCCTTCAAACTTTCATCCCATATCTTTCTTCTCTTTCACAGTTTTACTTGGGGAGGGATGCAGGGAAGGGACACTGTCTGCTTTCTATGCCTCGATGCCTCTCCCCTTACTCACTTTTCAGCCTCCTCAAATATGGCTTTGGACCTTACCACTCAAGTGAAATGGTTCTCTCTTCCATTATCAGTGACTTCTTACTCACCGAATCTAATTTCTCAGTCCTCATCTTGTTTGACCTTTCTGCAACATTTGACATTTTTGATCACCTTCTGTATACTCTCCTCTCTGGGTTTTTGTGACACTCTTGTCTCTAGGTTCTCTTGTCTGTCTGACTTCTCCTCAGGCTCCTTTGCACATTCTTTTTCTATATTGTGCCCCTCACCATGGCTTTACATATTCTTTCATGGTAAAGTAAAAGAACCGAACCTACGAGTCTATTAGGATGACATAGATCATTTTTGTTAAAGCAGATTTGTACTTTTAACAAATTTTCACTTTATTACATATTTTCCCAGAAGTATTTACAGATTTTGTGTTTATTGCCTGTAAATCCCTTTATATCAGTTGTGGTTCACATTGCTCTTTAATAGCTCACTAATTGATTCTCACAATAATAGATACCTGGAAGTTTAATTTTTGTTTTTACTGCAGTAATTATAGACATACACATACATGTAGTATGTAAGCACAACTTAAAACATTTCTTTACTTAAAATAGCCTCTGGTATTTACAGGATATGATAATAAAGCATGTAATTGTTTTTATTACTGTACTATATCTGGTTTCCAAGGATAATGACAAAAGAAATTTCAAGAGGCCTTGAAAACTGAAGCCCTTGTTTTAGTTACACAAATAGAATTCTTTGGAGAGTGTAAAGAACTTTCTGTTGATAGAAGGTCTAGTGGTATTCAGGATATGATAGGAGTCCCAGCAAGTAAATGTTTTAGAAGTCAGATATTATCAGTGTTTTTGGGTTCCTCCCTGTCTTCCTCCCTCCCTCCCCCTTTTTTCTCTCCTTCCTTCAAAGTCAAGCACAGAACCCAAGGATCTTGTAAATGCTATCCTATGCTATTTCAATGAAGAGATGTTTTTAATCAGTTATGTATATTAAAGAACATCACAAAACCATTAAGAACACACTATATGGGATAATAGGGAACTAAAAAAAAAATCTGCTTCTCATTGATAATTTAGTCGTTACAAAGGCTGATAGAATGAGTAGTGGTAAAAGGACTGCATTTCAAAAAGTATGAATATTATCCTTATTATTTGCTGATTTGTTGAAATTATTCCATCTGCATTTTGTTACTCCATACTTTAAACTGTCTTACAAAATTGTTTGTGTAATATCACAAGTTATCTTTTTTTGGGGGTGGGGGCGCTGGGCAATGGGGTTAAATACCTTGCCCGGGGTCACACAACTAGTAAGTGTTATGTGTCTGAGGCCAGATTTGAACTCAAGTCCTCCTGAATCCAGGGCCCGTGTTCTATCCACTGCACCACCTAGCTGCCCCTTGTCTCAAGTTATCTTAAAGGAATAAAGCATAGCTTTTTTGTTCTAGACATTACTGAGTACTTGATATATTTTAAAACTTCAGTTTGGGAAGTAGAAAAATAATTTGGTTATTGGGTTGACTTATAACACTATGAAATTATAACATGACTAATAGCAGACTGAAATTAATCAGTATATGCATGTATGTGCATGTGTGCATATGTATGTACATATACACAAAAGTATACATACAGAGTGTTTTTCCAGAATTTCTTCCCATGATTAAAACTAGTCATAAAGTGACTGCATAAATCTTTTTGAAAATTTGTTGTGTAAAATTAAAAGCCAGACATTTGACCAGGTCTTAACACATAGAGAATCTGAAGAGAATGTATTTAATGAACCTCAAGAGGTAAGGGCTATGATCACCAAACATCCTTTGTTCCTCCTGTTATGAATTTACCAACCATGAATTTATATAAATCATTAACCCATTTGTAATTACAGCCTCACTACTTTTAAGGAAGACATATTCACAGATTGACCAAATATATGTTTTAAGTAGTAGTATTTTTATTTGTCTGAAGTTTACTTCATTTTAACTTTTGGTACAAGTTCATCCTGCAGTTACAATCATAATTAGATTTTTCATGTGATAGCTTGATCACGCTAAATACCACTGAAGAGGGAGGGAAATAAAATATTAATAAGAAACTGTTTATACTTCTCCATTAAAAGATTTTCACTGATCCCTGCCTTTTGTTTTATGTCTGTCATTTTCTATACATAACAAAACTTGGCAGCATGGGCCTAGGGTCAGGAAGACCTGAGTTCAAATATGACCTCAAACATTAGCTATGTGACCCTGGACAAGTTATTTAACTCTGTTTGCCTCAATTCCTGATCTCTAAAATTAGCTAGAGAGGGAAATAACAAACCACTCCAGGATTTTTGCCAAGAAAACCACAAATGGGTCTTGAAGATTGGACACGACTGAAATGACTGAATAACAACAAAAATTAAGGCAAATACATTGTTCACACTAATTGGGACCTAACTGCAGTTCTTCATGTATTTTGGTTCTCATACCCTTATCAGAGATATCTGAAGCAAGGACGTTAAACGTACAGGTGTGGAGGAAATAGATTTATTATTCCCTATTTGTGAGTTACATTATGGTTCACTTATTTTTCTTTGCAAATTCACTGGAATTTTCCAGTTGAGACACTGCTACAGTAAAGTAACAGCATTTCTATAGACCAGGAGGAAATAATAGAAAGAGAAGTCTCATTCAAATAATTACAAACTGCATATGTTTTTTGTTGTTTACAGTATCTGTATAGATACAACTAGTTTAGTATTGATTCCTTTGTGCAAACCCAGCTAGTAATTCAAAGTTAGGTTAAAGTTTTGTTAAGGAAATGAATGCTTAGTGTGTGCTAAGTACACACTTAGGCATTGGGAATTTAAAGATACAAAAACAACACAAACCTTTCACTCAGGGAGCTTATTATTCTCTAGTAACAAGGGATAACATATATCCAAATATCTATAATTCAAAAGGGGGGGATAACTGCATAAGAGAGACAAGAAGAAAAAGATTAAGGATTGGGGAGTAGAGATCACTTCCTAGGGAAACAGGTAAGACTTCATTGAAGATAAGATACTTACATGCACCTGGGTCTTGAAGAAAGAAAAGAATTTTTTAATTAATTAAGAAGGGAATCCATTTTAGAGATGAATGTTTGGAGACACTAGAAGGTCAAGGCGAGATATGTATAATGGACTGTAGTCTTTACTGAAAGACTGAAAGTTTCATTGAAATGGGGTTTTATAGGATAATTCTAACTTAACTGTTTTGAGCTTTTTAAAACTTATTTCCTCCAGAAATTAGGTGTGTTATTCTGAAGGGCTTTCTGAGTCATTAGGTATGATTTCAGAATATTTTTGAGCTAGTTTCTTAACAGAGGGAAAAAAATCATTCAGAAAATGAGATTAGATACTTGGAGATTAATTTTACAGACATCTTTTTAGAAACACATTAATTAAAGATGCATAAAGCAATATATACTATGTACACCACTCAAAGGACAGTATATGTATCTTACTCTATCCTACTAGTCTTTTATAGTACCCATCTCATAAGAATTTTATGAAGATACTTTTATAGCAGTTTGCCCTTACTGGAGGGGAAAAAAAACATACTATAAAAGTGGTATTGACTGAAGATTTTTAAGATAGAGCATACGTTGGGTACTGGTATATAAGATTGATCATAAGTAGTAATGTAGCCTTGTTAGATTCATCTGGGATGATCAAAGCTTTTAGAATTATGAAAGATTTAAATATTAAAAGGACTTTTGCATATGTTTTGGGGACTAGAATATATTTTTGGAAGGGTTTTGAAAAAATGTGTTTTTAAAAAAACAAAACAAAACACTGAAAAGCCTGAAATCAAACACTTAAAAAAGAAAGTATTTCCCTCTATGTAGCAGAACACAAAGAAGAGTCTGTAGGAAATTATTTCATACCACATTAAAAAAAAACAAAAACTAGCAGAAAATAACCTCTATACGTGACTTTCAAAATGACCTACTTGTGTGATTTTCTTCTGTTTCCTTCTGTGAATTAAAAAAAAAATGTTACTAGGACCCACTTTTTAGCAGGGAGTGAGTACATCACTATTGCTAATTTCTCCCATCCCCTCCCTGAGAGAAAGGGATTCTCTCCCTGGGTTCTTGGGCTGACCTCCATATCCTGTGGTTAGTTCCCTCTGGATCTTTGAAGAATATAGCTCTGGATCTTCAGAGCCTTGTCTGGGGTCTAAGGACAGAGTATTAGGGACCTCAGAACCCTTGGATACCTGAGTAGTTCCAGTCTGAGTTCTGGGACACTAAGTTGGTCACCAATTGCTGCTACTCCCAAGGGCTTCCAAGGTCCTGATCCTAGGGCTTTTTCAAAGCCCTCCATTCTTGGGGTCTCTAGACTCAGAGCCTTGCCAGGCTACAGGTGTCCTCTCTCATTGTCCTGTACACAGCGGTGCTCAACTGGCTGGAGGGGGCTCCCTTTCATATTCCCTTAGGGTTTTGGCTGACTTTATGCAATTCTGGGGAAAACATGTCACGGTAGTTTTTTATTGGATTTCTTCATTATTTGGTTTGATCAACCAAATTTAATGTTAAGTTTTCTAGAGTAAGTATGTGGGAAAACTGGGCAATCCAGCAGCCATCTTGACTGGAACTCTAAAATATGTATTTGAACCCTCAAATATTTATTTCTTTAATATTGCTGTAGATCTGTTCTAATTATGTACAATTTTTATTCAGGTTTTGACTGGATCTCGTCAAAATTATTCTTCTGGCTACCATGATTTCAATAGATGGGAATCTTTATTGAAAATTAAAGAAGGATTGCTAAGGCAGAAGGAAATTGTAATTGACAGGTCAGTATATATTTGAGTTTTCACGTTACGCTAAATCTGAAGTGTTCCTTCAGTAGGTTCTTGAGAAGATTAGTGTATTGTCTGACTTGTATTATAAATTAGATGTGTGCCTGTCTCATCCATATATTAGCTTGTAAAGCTGCTTGAGGGCAAAGATTATGCCAATTTTTATCTATGTACTTTTATTGCCATTTTATATGTTGTCAGTGGCATATAAAATGTATACTGAATTGAGTTTTTTTCTTCAACAATCCTAAGTAGTAATATACTCGTTGTTAAATTTCCCATTTACAAACTTATTTAATTGAGTCTCTGATCTTATCAACATGTATATTATCTGTAGTGGTATAGATTATATTAATTTATAGCTTTTCACCCTTTATAACTTTTGCCCATGTTCCCTCCAAAAACAAAGACAAATAACTACCACAAATGATCCACCCCTTATGCTAGGTGCTTTGTTTTGGATGGTTTTGTAGATACCAACAAAGCATCCTGGTTGCTTACAAATTGTGCTTTGTTCTTGCTTTTGGTAATATGTTGCATCATGCTTATACATATCCATGTTGGCCTTTGGTTGGCCAGTAATGTTAATTCTTTAGATAAAGGGATATTCATAACACAAAGCCATATATCACTGGATAAATGTTCATGTCCAAATGACAGGTCTTGTTTCAGAGAGAAGCTTAAAGTCATTATAGATGCCACACAGTTCCTCCCTCCCTCAAACAAAATAATCAAACAGCAACAGTAACAATGCTCACATCCATGATCTAACTTTCTTTTCCCTTCCAAGCATAGTACCTGTAACATTTTTATTGTTGCTCAGCCGTTTCAGTCATTTCTGAATCTTTATGATCCCATTTTTTTTTTGTTGTTGTTGTTTTGGCAAAGATACTGAAGTGGTTTGCCATTTCCTTCTCCAGCTCAATTTATAAATGAGGAACTGAGACAAACAAGGTTAAGTGACTTGCCCAAGGTCACACAGTGTGTAAGTGTCTGAGGCCAGATTTGAACTCTGAAAGATGAGTGTTCCTGGTTCCGAGCCCAGTGCTCTATCCAACGTGCCACCTAGCTACCCCTGCCCTCAACATAGTAAATACTTAATAGGTGCTTGTTTCCTGACTGTTTTAACTTATTGTTATTATTGTCTCTGTGTTTGTTCAACATCATCCCCCCTTCCCTGCCCTTTTCTTTTTTCTCTTAATGAGGTCTGGCCTATCCATTTAACTACATATTATAATCTGGATAAAACACAAAAACACGTTATTTTTCCCTTCAGTTTCTCCTTTGTGGATATTTAGTCCACACTCTTTGAGTAATTATGGATCTCAGTTTGAAGGTTCTATGAAGTTTCAGGTTTTGACACAGCAAAATGTTATCTGCAAATTTGGAGGACCTTGTGATGTGTAGGAAATGAATCTTCCATTTAGATTCTGTATTGGACATCTTCCATGACAGTGACAGAAACCTATGTTGAGCATACTTTTCACTGTTGGAGAGGCATAATTAGAGGGTTATGAAACATAGTTATTTGTTTTTTCAAGTAATCTTATATGATTTTTGACTGTCAGGTAAGTTATACACATTTATGTATACACTTTTTTAAAAAACTGATTTATTTTTAGTTTTCAACATTCATTTTCATAAGATTTGGAGTTTTAAATTTTCTCCCTCCCCCAAGAGGGCGTGTAATCTGATATAGGCTCTACATATACATTCATTCTAAACATTTTCACGTTAGTCATGTTATAAAGAAGAATTTGAACCAGTGAGAGGAATCACAAGGAAGAAGAAACAGAACAAAAAAAGAGCACAAATAGTGTGCTTCCATCTTCATTCAGACTCGAAAGTTCTTTTCTCTGGATGTGGATAGCATTTTCCATCACAAGTCTTTTGGAGTATGTACACACTTTTAAAGCATATATATGCATTTAAAGTGGCATTTTGCTTTAGCAGCTTAAAGTCATTTTTATACTTAAAGAGTAAACACATTAGGATCTTCTATTCTCTCCATTAGTCGTAATATGATTGTATAATTTCACTTCCTTTCGTGTGTCTTTTTCATCAAGGATGCCCTTGAGGGCAGGTTTAGATGATTCTTGTAAAACTTCCAATAGAGATGGAAAAGACATATAGGTTGGTAGCTACTGGTGTTTTCTTGCTTGTATTTTTCTGATAAAACATCTATATTGTTTCTATTTTATCCTACTACCAAAAATTCTGCCATAACTATTTTGGTGTTTTGGGGATCTTTCTCTCTTTGACCTCTTTGAGGTATTTACTTAATAGTGAAATCTCTAGGTCACACTCACATTTTGGTCCTTTTCTTAACATGATTTCTGATTGCTTGTATAGGATGGTTCAATTAATTTCATAGCTCCATCAGCAGTGTATTAGTGTGCCTGTCTTTCCCCAACTTTTCTAACATCTAGCATTGACTATTTGCATGTTTTATACTTTCGCCAGGTTTGTTAAAAGATTTACATAGCCATATTACACAAAATTACATTAAAACCTGAAAGCAATTGAAATGCTCAGTGATAGGCTGATGATAAAAGCTTGGTGCATTATTAATATAATGGAGTAGTATAATGTAAGTAGTATCAATAAATATGAAGAATATCAAGAAAATGGGAAGTAAAAGCAGAATACTGTCATACATACTGTTTACTTTTCAGAGAAGAAAAGTGAAGGAGAATGAATAAGTAAAGATCTTAGATAGGTACACTTGGAGACAAAAAATGTTATGATATTTTGTGTTGAAATTAATCAAAATGTAAATAGTTACTAAATGTGTGTAGTTGTTTTATTAGTATCCATTATTAGATTTGTAATAAAACTTAATAGAAAAAGACAACAAATACTGTATAATCTCAACATATGACAAATTTCTAAAAAATATGCCCAATGGCCTTTTTTTTTTAATTTTTAGAAAGTCAGAGGACATTTACATAGATTTTTGAAGAAATATAAACATGATTAATATTTAGTTATTAACTGTAATTTCTGAGTTCAAAATTGTTAGCACAGTTGTTAAAAAATTGTTAACCTGACACCTACCAGTCCTTTACCCCCATTAGCAGGCTTGGATCTATAAATTTCAGTTTCTTGGATTAGATTGTTTTCTTTGCCTTTCTAAAACCACATCAACATAATTAGTAAGTTCTTTTTATTGGAAACCTTGCTTTAGTTTACAGCATTCCTGATTCTCAAAACTGTCTATCTCTTGAATGATATTCAAAATTTGTGCTTGTTAGAGATCTTATTTTAAGTGTTGCAGCTTTTAATATCTTTGTCCTGCAATTAGCTGAAAGTCTTTTTGGTGATTTTACAATTACAGTTTCAGTTTGAGGTAGAAAAGGTGTCTGTTTTGAAGTCAGTTGGATTACTGTATTTACAAAATAGTCCCTCTCCTTGAGAAGGTGAAGTTGAACTTCTTTTGAAAGTACTGGAGCATTTAATGTAATGCAACTTTTTTACGTATTGGTCATGATTAGAATTTTTTTAAAAACATATTTTAGTTTTATAAAAGAAAAAAATCAGTTTGGAAGGGACTTTCTCAGGGTCACAAATCTATTGATTATCTCAGAGGCAGGATTTCAGTTCAGGTCTTTCCTGCTTGGGAAGTCCAATCTGTAATGCAAAATTGGACCTCTTCAGGGGCAGCTAGGTGGCACAGTGGATAGAGCACCGGCCCTGAAGTCAGGAGGACCTGAGTTCAAATCCAGCCTCAGACCAAACACTTGACATTTACTGGCTGTGTGACCCTGGGCAAGTCACTTAACCCCAACTGCCTAAGGGGGGAAAAATTGGACCCCTTCCTTGGAATTTCCCTGGGCTTTGATAGGCCACTTACACTATCATATAGCTGGGTTCCAGGCTTGCAATTCAGGATTTCTTGTTAAAGACAAATTTAAGTAGCTGGAAAAGAAATACTCATTATTAGTAAAAGAACAGATTATAAAGTAGTTATAACATCAAGGTTATGGATGCATTTTTATAGGAAGTTAAATTTATAGTTAAGGCAGATAGGTGGAATGGTAGATACTATGCATGTCTTGGAGTCAGAAAGATTCATCTTCCTGCTTTCAAATGTGGCCTCAGACACTTATTATGTGATTTTGGGCAAGTCAGTTAACCTTGTTTGCCTCAGTTTCCTCATCTGTAACATGAACTGGAGAAATAAGTAGTAAACTACTCCAGTGTTTGCCAAGAAAACCCCAAAGGGGGTCACGAAGAGTCAGACATGACTAAAAACAACAGAATAAAATTTATGGTTGCATGTTTCAACTTTTCAATCTTAGGCTATATTTCTTTCAGGTAATTGTAGAAGAAATTTTGTACATATTTACACATTTAAAAAAATCATAGGAGAAGAAAAACACTTTATTTAATTGAATTTCACCATAGAGCATGAGTCTGCCTTGCCTAGAAAATTCTTTCATTAGAATTGAGTAGAATGTTTTAGATATGACAGCTTTCTGTTGAAAGTGTTTTTATATTTTGAAGGAAATTAGGAAAAGTGTATGAAAAGTCTAGAAGTCTTAAAACATTTAAAAATGTTTATACTGCTTCTATTATTTCTGTTATATTTATACTGAAATCTGTCTTCCTGTCATACTTATATTTTGATTTTTATATACGTATATATGCTTATTATTTTTTACCATGTAAATCATTGACAATCTTTATTATGATAGAAAAGAATGCTTCATCCTTTTTTTAAGTCCATTGATTATTCTTTGATAGATTCTACCTTGGTTATAGGCTAATCTGTCTTAGATAACTATGTTTACATGTCTCAAATAAAGACCACTTTTAATGGGCAACCAGAAGGTGTGATCAAACTATGACATGGTTGCTACTTGGGTTAACTTAAGCGAGTTAGTTCACCTCACTTGACTTCATTTTATACTTCTGTAAAATGAGGGGTTGTTCTAAATGATATCCAAAACCCCTTCCTGGTCTAAAGCTGTGTGTTTTCATTTTGATAAGAG